AATCTTCGAATTTCCCTGAAACTAGAACATCCCACATCTAATCTAGGTCTACCTCTACTACTTTTAATTCTTGTTTCTGCTTCTAATATGTCTCTGACTAGCCCTTCATGACTGAGAAAATGTTCTACCAACCTATGTCTCCTATTTCTTATTGTCTTCCGTAGAGTTCCTTGCAATGCCCCCTCATTTCGAACCTTCTCTTTCGAATTTCTAAATTAATAACCGTTTGCGAACGTAGAAGTGACTTCTTTTCTTTCTTTTTCTTTAAATTAATATTTGTTTTTATTTTATTAAGAAGAAACAAGTACATATAGGTTTCCTACCATTAAGAGTAGAAAATTTGTCACAAGTGTGTTACTTTTGGAAGTTTTCTTGTTTCAATGTATGGACATGACACAAAAAAAATTTATGTTAGCTGTCCAAAGTGTGACATCACTTTTTAATTAATTTCTTAGTATTGTTTGTTTATTAAAAAACCTCTTGAAATTTAATTTAGAAATCAGGAGAGACTGTTTGACTTTAATAGATTTCTATTTACACCTGCTGTTTGTTTTGGGACAATTAAATAACCTTTTTTGTCTGGTCTGGTCAGGCTTTCTTAAAATCGATACGATTTTTAGGGTCAATGCTACAACAATAAGCGTATATTCAAAATTAGAGCAAGAATGTTGTTCCAATGTCTTAATAATCATAAACGTTAATCTGTTTGTCTGACAAACAAATTAATGACGGTCAATAAGAAATACCATATAATTAATTTATAAAGCCTACAAAATCATCAATAAGTTGACGAAAAACCTGCACGTTATGGCATGTCTGGCAGGTCCTTTACTAGATCATTCAGATATAATTTGGTTCAAAAAAAAAAAAAACATTAAATACACTAGGAGGACACAAGAAACTAAATCTACAGAATCCTTCTATCCAAAACTTTCCGAATGTCCTTTAACTTCGTTTCATCCTTCCAGTCAAAGAGTTGACGAAAAACCTGCTCAGGTCTTTTATTAGATCATTCAGATAAAATTTGTTTAAAAAAAAAGTCATTAAATACACTAGGAGGACACAAGAAACTACATCTACAGAATCCTACTATCCAAACTCTCTGAATGTCCTTTAACTTCGTTTTAAAGAAAAGATACGTGTTAATTCTTATTGAAATAGATTGAAATACCAGTGCGGTTAATGGTGGAATTAACTGACGTTCTGGACTTCTGATAATGATGGCGATGTCCTTCTGGTGAGGTTGCGATCGTTAGCGTCGGTTCTTTGGCGTAACTGTTCCGAAGGGTCATCGCTTCGTATCTTTTTAACCGGCGCTAATGTTCGTATTCAACGTTGGTTCGCAAACAAATGCGAAATTACTCACAATCAGATGCAGAAAGAGATAAGGGCTTCCATAAACGGGAGCCACGTTGTGTATGTTAAACGTATGACACGACGTCTTGGGGTCCGTGTGAAGATGATACATGGACCTTGGTAACGAGAAGATGCGTCTTTATACCGGGTGATTCGCTTTCGCACTACATTTATATCATCTACTACTTCCAATTCTTGTTCCTAAACGATCAAATTCAAATTCAGATTAGTCGGATATTTTACCAAACTGTCCCCACATGAATCGCAATTTCGAGGTTAGTTCTCATCACCACACAATACGTTTCATCCAAAATGCAGTATTCCCTATTTATAGTGTTTTTAAAGTTGTTGATATAGACAATCTATTATAGCTAAAATACTTATATGAGCTTAGTCATCTTAGGGTAAGGAACACGAACCCTAACTTACGCATTACTTTTGGCTTTCGATATTCTTACAGTTGGATACCGTTTCTACATCTTATTCGGCGGTTACAGTTATCTGTTGTTCATTTCAGTGTTAGCGTTTAGGTAAATGGTCGACATGGGTTCATTTCAAGACGTAAATGACCTAAAATTTGAGCGTCTAATAATGTTCTTCTGTCTTCTCATTTTGAAGACCTTAATTCAATACCACAAAGTCAAGATGTTTGGTTTGAACCTTGTTTCATTAAAGCTTCAAATATCATTCACATCGTGCTAATGAGCTGGGTAGGTTTCGAATGGAAGCCCACGCAGGTATATCCTCTGACGATGGACTAGGAGTAAACATAAAGGGTTTAAGTTAGGAAATGATGAGAAAGGTTTGCTTGATTGGCATTAGTAAAGTAGATAAGCGGAAAATCCCATTTATTTTCTTATGAAGGTTCATTTTTGTCCTTTTCTACCGTTTTACTCCCCCCCTCTCCTACTCTATTGTCATAGCCGTCAGCCATTTTTGACAGCTGTCATCGTCAGCCATCCTTCACAGCTGTCAGCGTGAGCATCTTTGACAACTGCTATGATCGGCCAGGGCTTCGCTCCTTCTGTTGGTGCTCCGGCCTCCTGAGGCCCCTTCATCTTTTGCTTCCTAATCTTAGGGTGCTGCTCTGCTGCTCACGATGACAGCTGTCAAAGAGGACTGACGACGACAGCTGGTAGATATGGGTGACGGCCGTGACGTTAGAGTAGGGGAAGAGGGGGTAAAACGGTTGAAAAGGGACGGGAATGAACCTTCATATGAAAAGAAATGGGATTTCGCGCTAGAACTGTCATTGCTTATCTACTCCCGTCCGTCTAAAGTGGAAAGACAAGACAAGAGCTTCAACCAGGACACAGTACTATCTTACATCAAGTATTACAGCACCATCTATTAGCCTACTCTGAACCTGTAAGGATTCCTCTGTATACAGCGTCCTTCATTGTGGTCTATTGTAGACGAGCGGGATGTCTAAATGACTGATAGTGAGAAGTGTCCAGTTGTAATTGTTTAGTCTGGCCATTAATCCTGCGTGTGTCTGTGTAGGTAAAGCGGCATCGGCAGCAATTCTAATCGTCATTACCGTTACGATAACACTCCGGTAATGAAAAGTACGAATTGTTGTTGTTGTTGTTGTTGTAAGGCGATGGTCCTATTGTACTTCACGACCGCTGGCGCTCTATAGGTATATATGAAGTTGGTTTTGTATGTGGGTAGTTCTTTGTTGAGAATGAGGAAGTTGTAGGTACGAAACGTAATCGAGTTTGCTGTGGTCGTGCTGTGACGGCATTTAGTTGTCCTTTTCTTGTTTAGAAATTAACTGAGAGTCCTTCTGTATCTTGACAGGTAATCATTTTGTAAGGTTCATTTGGTCCCAAAGAAAATGGAAAATTATATCGATCTCGACACTGACAACGTAATGGAGTAGAGGTAATGGTGTAATATGGTAACTACTGATAATGAAAACCAATACTTCGTTCTTGTTTAATGATATAATTTAGAATAGAGTTTGATCGTGAATGAAGAATGAGTAAGATATTGTGAGAGTTTTTAAAATTGATTAATTGAGAAGTTCGTTACTGTATTTCCAAATTACCATAAAAGATGTCGCGAATACAGCTACTACTTTAAATTCGGCAAACTTTGTTATGGTGCACGGTTACTTTGGTTAGCTTCTCATCGTCATAACAATTTCGATGCCGCGGCATAAGAAACATGCACAATAAGGCTCTAGCTTCGTCGTAAGTATTAGTTACATATATGTGTACCATCATGTGTGTATGTAGCTAGGTTGTAGCCATTTATACCCAATTAAACGCGTTCTTGGTAGGTGGTCGCGTCGCCATATTCGATCGACCCGGGAGCATACAGAAGTGTATGCATACATACACACATAGAGACGCAGACACAAGTACACAAAAGCACATCTCGTCGAGTACAATTGACAACTTTATTAATCGAATAGAAAGGCGTTTCATGCGATATAACTCAATAATTACTTTCTTTAGAAGATAATGGCAGATCGGTGCCGTGATACCGTCTTGTATCTCCATGCAACGGCCATTAGCTCAATTTATTGGTTCGGGTATGCGCGAAACAGGAAGGCATAAAGGGCTCTTTTCCACATTGGTAGCCTAGGTACACATACAAGTCGGAATAAATTATGTTGTGAGTGAAAGCCTCCAGTCTAGGTTTATGTTCTGCAATAGATCGATCGACACAAAGCTGGTTGATTTGTTATCAAGTGGAAGCTCGTAAAACCATGTGACGTTACATAATTTTCTGACGCTACCTTGTACAATGTGGAGCAACTATGAACACTATATTATTATTATTGTTATTGGTGACTGTGAGGCAGGGTGCAAAAATGCTCAAGGACACGTAGTCGTCTGACCATTGTACCCCCATCCCCCCGTCTCTCACTCAGGTGTCCATAGACCAGCTGCCCTGCCAAAACACAGCAGCTTCTCCAGGTTCCTGCATAACTCCTTAAAAAGTTCTCTATCTATTAATCTAGCCCCCAGACATTCGTAGATTACGTGTCTCGGGGTTTCTTCCTCGCCTTCGCACCATCTACATAGGTAACTTAACTTCTTCCCTGTGTTTTGTGGGTGCAGCACCTAAGCTCGCTGTGCCCAGTAAACAATCCTAGGATAAGACGCGCCTCGTTCCTCTTCATGTTCCTTAGCTCCATGTTCCAGCTTTTTATGTATTTCCCGAGCAGCTCCAGAGTTGCTGCCCAGGTGTTCCATTTTTGCTTTCCCAAGATTCTACTAATAGCGTTGTTTCCTTCTTGGTATGGTATTCCTACCTCCCCGTCCGGTTCTTCCATATCTGCTCCCTGCTCTGCAGGTTTGTAAGCTTTTTCGTTACCCTTGTATCCGGAGTGACCAGGTATCCAGGTAATAGTTACTCTATTCCTCGTTTCTAGTTCATTTAAGGTATCTTTCACCCTTTGAACCAGCTTAGAGGTAGTTACTGGCTTCTCCAGTGCCAATGAACACTGTATTACCAATTAGGGTTTTCGAGTTTCAATCGTGTGGGTTTTATTTTGTTCCAACATTTTGTCGGCCTGCAGTTCACTTTCTCAGGGATGACCTAAACTGACATTTTCAACAAAAAAAATAGTTTGCTGCAGTCAACTGATGCATTTACGGCTGATGCACTAACTTATATTGTGGAACAAAATGTGGATAAGGAATTCAGAAGACGTTAGCAGCTTCCTTGAGAAATTATGGGAATGTCTGGGTGGTGACGGTAATGGAGAGAAAGAACAGACGGGTGAGCTGAAGACAGTAGACGAGTGAAAGGTTATCTGTGGAATATTTTACGATCGCAGCATTTGTGTAGGTACAGAACCGAAGGAAACCATAAAATAACTTGGACCAAGACAAACGGATCGATGACCTCCTAAGTTATGGAGTAACTACTAGACCCCGCTGTTGCATGACGTTCTTGAGTCAGAATGTTTCTGAAGGTGATCTTTTATAGGGTGCGCTATGTTTGAGTGATCTTACGGTTGGCCAGCGTTGGAAATAGGATTGAAACCCAAAAAGACACGAATATTATTCAATGTTGGGTTTTTCTGCTGTGTTTGTGATGCTTTGCCCTTTCAAATTCTAATCGTTCTTCGCAGATGTTATCTTTCGTGGCGATTTGGCCAGGTACAGTCAGAAACATATTGGAAGCAGAAACGGAAGTTAGGAGGTGTAGAAGTAGACCTGGAGTAGATTACGGTTGACAAGCGTTGGAAATCTGACTGAAACCCGAAAAGATATGAATAGTATGCAATGTTGGTTTTTTCTGTGTTTATGATGCTTTCCCCTTCCAAATTCTTATCGTTCTTCGCAAATGATATCTTCCAAAGCAATGGAGTACAGTTACAGGAGATTGTGATATAGATCACGGGATAGTCTGGAATGAAGTTTGTTTTCAATCAAAAGTTGTAGGTGATCGGAAGGGATCGCCCATAGATGACTCCACCATCCCATGTTCACATTCATTTAAAACTTTTCTTTATTTAAGTAAAATCTCTATATTTGGTCAGATTTTTAAAGATCGAGATCGAGATCGAGAATATTAACCTGCGCTACGGGGGGAAGAAGTTAAATAGTCAGTTGGTCCTACAAATTCACAAGGGGGTCATCCCATGCTGACATGAATTGATTAAAGTAGTTCACCCCGTATACATGAAAGTAATTAGTTCTTTGATCCGAAGTTTGGCGTTTCTGTATTCCGTATCTTCCGTTTAGGTGAAAGGCGGTCTAGAATTTAAGCAATTGATATTTTTTTTTCTGCCAGATTAAAACTATGTATGTTAAGAGTCGGCCGTTGTTGACATGCAGCGGACGTTCGAAGCAAAACCTTTGCATTTCATACAGTGCCAGTTAAGTGTGAGATTAAACAAAAACTAATAAATAAAGATGACAAGTAACACATTTGCTGCCTACCTACCTGCATACATACATAACACACATGTCAACTTTGACTAAAGTGTTTCATCCGCTGCCAATCGGAGTGTCTTCCTTTCTTCATTGTTGAATAAGCAATAAATTAAGAAATTTAGAAACGAAATGAAGTTAGCCCAGCTGGTCAAAATGCAGAATGTTTAGATTTGTGAATTTGAAGGGAATTATGATCGATATTGGAGCTCTCTAATGTTCAATACATACTCAAATGTATTTATTTACAAGTTGCCTGTTTGGCATTATATCAGTTAGTTAATAAATTAGCAATATCAGAACGTCTAAAACGTGCAGTTCACTGTTTTGTTTGGCATTTCAGAGATTCTTTAAGAATTTCTTGCTGTTCGTAAATAAAAATGTTTTAGAGTAAAACTGTTCATGATGAAACAAAAAAAGTGAAAATTCCGGTTAGTTTTTAATTAAATTAATATAATTATTTAATAGTTGAACCCGCCTAAATTGTTGTCCCTTTTGCATAGCACTTACATTGTACCATCACCTAACCTCAGCCCTCAGTGTACAGCACTTACGTCAATCAACCTAACTGAATCCTCTAGTGCATATCTCTTCACACATATCAGTGAGGAGAGCCTTTTGCACCATAGCCTAACCTAAATCATTGTTACATAGCACTTCATATAAGCCAATTAGAGAATTTTTTCACACCATAACTTTACATAACCACAAAGTGTATAGCACTTCACACATGTGAACCAGAGATCCTTCATACTGTCGATTCCATCGGCCATCACAGTCATTATCGCATTCTATCTATGACCCTGATCGAAAATTAACATCTAAGCACACTTAATACATCAAAAGATTGGTAATTTGTAATTAAAAATTTCCAGAAAATGACAATATCCTGGATATCAAAAGTAGTCACAGTTCTATCCGTTAGATATTGGAAAGTTCTTATACGTATGGTAGTCGAAGATGGTTCAATTGATTTTCGTTTGTTGTGTTTTCCATATATTACCGAACATAATTTCTATAATGGAGGTGTTATCAGGAATTATTTTCTTAATCCCCCGCCCAGAAATTGTTTGTCCCACAATTTCCTGTTCTACTTATTTCTTTATTAGTGGTATGTCGGTAGTGGTAAGAAAATGAGTGATTATGTTTAGCACTACAGTCTTCGAGGTACGCGTTACTTCATCGTTTCTATGAAAGTATGAAAATAATACTTAACGTGTGCGTGTAGGCATGCATGTCTGTGTTGAGACAGGATGAGGATTCGCAACTTTGATTTCCAATTATTTATTGACATATCATGTCGCGAGCGGAATGAAGAACTGCTTCCTAATGAATCGAAAAACTACAGCTTTACTGTTAACCCTAGTGAAGAATCGATGTCAAGTAGCATTAGAAGGATGCGACTGCTGTGATACCAGTCCGACGTGACCGCTTAAATCGAAGCAGATAAACTGCACACTTTTTAATGACTAATTGAAATAAAAAACTGGCTTAAGATGTGACAACAACTCAGAAAAATCAACTGTAACTATTATATAAGTGGTGCGTAATTGCTTTGCGTTTATCTTTTTCGAGAGATAAAGAAACCGGATAATCTTCAATGAGATCAAATGCATAACAATAAAAATACGCCGTGAATTTTATGAGATTTGTGATAGGTTGTTTCATTTCATTGAAATAATAGTGGGGATTTTTGGATTTCCTGCCTCCAATTGATTTTTCATTCCAAAGGCAGACGCTAAAAAAAAATTCCAAAAAGTTCACCGTCACAGAATTACATTTGATGCTCGTAAAATACTAATCTAAATATATATATAATGCTAATGTGCGTACGTAAAAACAGGGTTTTCTCTTTCACTACCAACTTCTATCAACTTCCCGTTGGGGTGGTAAATACCCCTTGGTCTCCTACTGAAAGTAAGGGAGTTTGGTCGCGGTGGGTAGTTGTGGGTGCCGAAAATGTGGAAAAATATATATCTGTTCTTTTCTAACTTATGAGACCTTTTGGAAAGTTCTAAAAATTTCTGAAATGAAAACCCCAGAATGTGTGTAACTGTTACAATCGATCTAGAATGTTCTAGAAAGTTCTAGAAATATCTGGAATGATCTGGAAAGTTTCAAATGTCCGCAATTAATTATCAAGGATTTCTTGAATTTTCTAGATTTTGTCCAAATAGTCTAGAATATTCTAGAATGATCTGCTATTATTAAGAAATTTTATAAAGGTACAGGGTGGTCTGTCATTATCGGGAATAATTTTGCATTAACCATGCGATGTATTTTAACCCGAGCAACGCCGGGATTCGCTGCTGGTAATTATTAAAATATCATTTATTGTAAGGTACTACAATAAGCATAATTTCTTGTCCATTCCCTATGAGTGATCTTTAACGTCTCTTTTAGGGTTTATACAAAAACCGACATTTTAGAAAACCGATTTTCGAATAGTAATTTTTCCAGAAAACCGGTTTTAACCGGTTTCGAATTTTTATAAAAAAAATTTTTGCTCGAATATTCTATAATTCGAACAAAAAATTTTAACAGAAAATTTAGAGTGATTAAAAGCAGTTTCAATTTTATTGATAGTAAAATTTTTTTATGCAATTTAGTAGAACAAAGAAATAATAGTTGACCGGGTTGTTTTGTGGTAAGCAATAATTTCGTTGTTGCAATTACTCTCGTATGGACGAGCTATTTGTTATGCAATTAATAGATAGTCGATCCTAGTCCTTCTCACAAAGTTAAGAATACAGGGCTAAGACAAACTGATATAAAATCTAAATTAATTCATCCAATAGACAAAACACACCGTTTCTTGGAATCATATCGGTCCGATATGATTCCAAGTGTTTTCATCAGTCTGATACATTTGGCTACATTTGTCATTTTTAAAATTTTTTTTAAGTGTTATTCATACATTGAAAACCGATATTTTCTACTAAAAAACCGGTTTTCGAAGTTCATAATTTTCTCCAAAAAACCGGTTTTTAAAAACCGACAAACCCTAGTCTCTTTCTTTCCAAAACCATGCTCCCCGCACTACAGATTCTCTTTTCTCTAATGCAGGTATCTCTATAAGGAATCGGAGAACGCATAATAAATGTATATATCAAAAAAAGAAAAACATTTGTGTAGAACAGTGTGCATATTTTGTCCTTGACAAAAATTTACAACTTAAAAGATGTATGTGTCACTTAAAAATGTATAAAAGTACAAAATTACAAATCACTGGAATCCCAGTAGTGACTATATTTTACTTTTTTACTGAAAATAGCGAATCCGAATAAAAGTCATGGGCATTCTTTAATGATATTCCTTTTGTATTCAAAAAAATGTTTAGGTATTCGACGATTATTATAGACTCATTATTTATTGAAACCGCTTTCTATTAATTAGGTACCCATTTATAAACTATCATCATTAAACAACGAACTTGAGTTATCTACTGGTGAATCGTGGATTAAAGCTGAAGTATTAAGACGTTATTCATAGAACTAATTAATATTGTAGACAGTTCAAATTTCTTAACTGATTTGTAACGTAAGCGTTCTTCTTCGTTCTCGTGCTCAAGCGAAATGGCAAGTCGTGAAAATGCAAAGCCATTTCGACGTTTCGACGACGAAATGAAGAAATTAAGCACAGCAAAACAGCAATAACCATTACAATATATTTAAATGTACGAAGAGGCAGAAAGCGAACGGTAATTTCTTAATGCAAATATACTATAGAAATAATAAAAAGGAACAGATTTATTCTACAGGCGTATATGCAGTCGTCTAGTAAAGTTTAAATGTGCTGGGCCCATCATTGAATAATATTCATCGAAACCATCAAAAAACGAAAAAGACTATAGATAGGAGGTGAAATTACATGGCCTGCTTCAGAGTCCCACTATGTTGCGCTCGATGGTCGCTGCGCAGTGGAGCAGTACGCATCCGATATGACGCATAGGCAAGGAGATTTTGTTTACGTTTTGTATTTGACGATCGAAATTGATGCGCAGTCTCTCATCGCACAGCGGACCGTGACGTTTTCTATTCTTTGTTCCCACTTGATATCCTATAGTTTAATAAGAACAAAGGACCCCATTAGATCTTTGCGGAAATGACTCTCTGTCAATCTCTTTGAAGCTTTGGATTATGATAATTCTTGACGTGCTATTGAAAAGTCTGAATGGGCACTAAGTCGTAAAGATATGATCCCTTAAAGTTGCATTTTTCCTTAAGGACTTCGAAGGTATATATTGAAAACGTGCAAGTCTATGCATGTGGATATGTTGAGTAATTGTACCTGTGCATTAGATACTATGGATGTATCATGGTTTCGGACTAGAGATGGTAATGCACTCTGCAAAAGTGTTGTCCACCTCAACGTCATGGCGTACTTATGGGGAAAGTTCGTGCACTCATAGGTGTAATTAGACACTAACCCAGAATCTATAGTTTATGAGACGCATGAAAACTAAAAGTAGTTACTGCATACAATTCTAAACAACAAATTCTACAGATTTTAACTTGTGTAGATAAAACAGTTCCGCGTTGTGTTATGTCTGAGTAGATTGTTTTGTTTCTCATGTTTGAATATTTCTTTGTCAATTTTACGTTCAATAAATCATTGGACGGTCCCTCCTGCCGCTAAATCCATTCCCATAAATTATCCCAGTTCCGTCAGTCACCCTGCAAAATACCATTTTGATGTCACGATTTGCAACAGTAAAGCGCACTTTTCGCGAAAGCTCTCTTATAAATTTCTTACTTCATGTATGGAGGTATTTAAGCGCTGGCAGGCATCCTGATCAATAAACTTCTCTATTCTATGGATTTGTTCTAACAATACAAAGACTGCCATTTATTTTAAAATATATACACATATACATATATTCGCTTATATGTGTATGGGTAGGTACGAATGGGCTCTGTGCCTTTGTAAAATATGTGAAATGTTGCATTCAGTGTTTTTCATGACCAGTTCATGCATGTGAACCGTCATCGTGAGACCGGAGAGTCCATAACCTTTACGAACAAACGGCGGGCTATTATTTTATCAACCACTGAAATGTGATGTTCTGTTTTTCTTTCCGTTTCAGATTTCCTTTATCGGCATAACGTCACCTTCGACAACGTTACGACGGAAGTGGAAATATTAGATACCTCCAAGTGTGTGGTAAGTCAATATTTTTTGTTACTCCTCAATTTCTCTTAGATCATTATGATATGCAATTTGTTCACGTGATAGGCAGCGTCAATTTTGATTTTTCGTTCCAGAACCCTTTTTTGAATTGACTTCATTTTTCCTTCCACTTAATCCCTAGTACACGCTCAATCAGAAAATCCTCCCTTATCATAGCCTTAGGTAAGGTCAAGATGCATACCGTAACCTAATTACTCTCTTTTAAACTCTTTTTTAAATTGAATTCATTTTTCCTTCGACTGGATCCTCCTTTATCAATAGTGATCATCATCAATACGACATCTACCTCTACTCTCTTCTATCTTGAACTTGAGCAAGCTTCATCTTTAACTATTTCCGAACTGTAATATGGTCTATGTCTATCTCTACCTCACTTAATTTCTGTTTCTGTTTCTAATATGTCTCTAACTAGTCCTTCATGCTTGAAAAGATGCCCTACTACCGATTTATCTCATCTATTTGTTATTGATTTTCACAACACTCTCTGTTCTCCTTCTATTTCTAGTACCTACTCATCTCTAACCTATTTTTAACATCTTCCTATGACAACTTTTTCGCCCACCATCCACGCTTTACACCCATACAGAGCGGTCCAGCAAACTTTTTCCGAATTAACTGAGTCTGTTGTTTTTATGTTATATCTCTAGCAGTTTTTTCGTCTTCAGCTATCTGACCCCTTAAATGTAGAAAATCAGCTGCTTCTTTTAGTTTTTACTTATACATCCCTTAAATACCAATATTTAAATTATAAGGATGCTCCAAAGAGCTTGGTTTTATTTTATTCTTTCGTTGTAATTTTAGGAGCAGGGTCCATTTTGATACAAAATTATTTAAAGTGGTGTCTAGCTTCCTTTTCAAAATTTTTTGAGTTTCTTTCAAATATTTTTCACTCTAGTGTATGTTAATTCCTCTAGTGGCTTCGGGACGTTTTTTTTTCTCTGTCGAAGAGTTCAATAAAAGTGAGCATCGTCATATGGCAATTCGAGATCGTCTTCTTCGTAGAACATGATGATCGCTTGCACAAGGCTCATCCAGTTCGCCTTACGACTTCCTAATAACACAAAATGGCAAACTGCTAACGTAATAATTATTTAACTCTTGCATTAAACTATTCCGGTAGATGTCGATAACCTTCGGATGTAACAGGCCGGTCAATAGGCTCCAGATCTTACGGTCGATATCGTCGATTCGCGTATTTATAGACAAGAAGAGCATTCTCACATACATACGCACACGTAGATGTACCTATATGCATACGTATACACTCTTCTTGCGTATGTTTCACGTTTGACAGGTGAGGAATACTATCAGCCATCCGTGGTCGGAGAGAGCCGAGCGTTTGGTAGGAAGTTGTCAATTCTTCGGTTGCTGATTGGAATCCTGTATACTCTTTCAAGGTCGTTTCTCATGCTAATTCGACCGATCGAAGGTTGTCAATCGCGGCAGAATTGTAACATGCCCATTTCACTGGACTTGCTAGTTTTCTTAGATATTATCCGCGCGTAAATCGAAAATTACTCCGTAGCTTTTGAAATAAGATAAAACACTGTAACCCATAAAAAGTTTAAATAAGGATTCCTATGTTACAAAAATTGAAAGTTGAGATAGATAGGCTAGAATTAGGTATACATAGTAGGCGTTAGTTGGCCAGAAATGAATATAAAGGTCGGAGACGAAAAATTAGAAGAAGAAACTGATTTTGGGTATTTAGGAAGTCAGATAATTCAGTTTGGAAGGAGTAATAAAACAGAGGATAGAGCAGGGTTGAGTGGCCTTCACAAAAACTAGTCATTTCTATGACCGTCAGCGGTTAATTTAGAAATTCGAAAAAGATTCTTAAAGAAAAGGTTAGAAGCGTTTGAAATGTGGTGTTACAGACGAATGATGAGGATACCATAGATAGAGAAGGTTAGAAATAAGGAGGTACTAGAAAGAATAGGAGAACAGTGGTCAGTACGGAAGTTAATAAGAAACAGGCGAGAGAGGCTGGTAGGACACCTTCTCAGGCATGAGGGGCTGGTTAGAGATATATTGGATGCAGAAACAGGAGTTAAGAGAATTAGAGGTAGACTTAAAATGGATTACTGTTCGCAAATAGTTAAGGATGTAGGATGTTCTGGTTAAAGGAAAATACGAATATGAACTTAGGATAGGAAAAACTGGAGGTGCGTACCAGTCTTAGGACTGACGACTTTTTGATGATGATGATGATGTTCGCTATGGTCATATTCCCTTCATAACACCTAGGGTCATTCTAAAAAGGCTACTAACAGGTTTTGAGATAATGCAATAACCAAAATTAGACTACCTTTCTGAACCGCATCGGAGGCGAGATTTCGTTGTATCCTTCTCAGTAGGAATGCGGCATGTCGTGATGAATTTTAAACAAGTCCTGGCGACGCATAATTTAGCAACAGAGCTCATTTGCAAAAGATATTTTTGGTAAAACCGCGTTCGCCCCTCGGCACCTCTTGTGCCAGCCGAACGTGACCGACGCGCCTTCTAATTGGCGATTGTTACGTTCTGTAATACAGGACGTCTGGCTTGATGCCAATTTCTCACACATACTCTCGCTCTCTCTCTCTCTCTACATTGTTGTTGGACGTACTTACCTGTTTAAATGCAGTACACCTTCATCGAGATAAGGACGAATTGCCAATTATTACGGCCCTCAAGAAGCCACTGTGAATTTTTATTGTTCAACATCGGTAACGCAATGTAAACATCGAATGAAATTGGACATAAATATTGCTGTCAATTACTTGTTTGCATTTTTATTGGTACCGTTATTAAAAAGAGAGGTTTCTTTATTTTTATCCTTAATCTGGGTCAGCTGATTTATTGTAGACATAAATATTTATCCTGCGGATCACGTCATGCTTTAATAATAAAAACTTAATCGTTCAGTTATCCTTATGTAATCAATTTTATCTTTTTCGATTGTAGTCATAACGTCTCCAAATTTCTAACAACTCAGTCAATTCATGATTGTTTAGCGCGCCTTGTCCGATTCTCCAATATTCTATAATCTCTAGAAGTTTTCAGTCATTATTACACAACAAATTGAGAAAGTAAGAGATTCTGACACACGTGAAGTTAGGCACGAGCCAGATCCTTTATTATGCGGCGTTCACACCAGAACGACTGTAAAGATTCGAATCCAAGAATTCTCGTAGGAACACAGCATTTGCTGGTTTCTCAGCTCAAAACGTACTCTCTGGTTAGTAATATTGTTCTCGACATTAATCGTTACTTCATAATCACATTGATATTGAGTAGCTAGTAGAAAATTCGACAAATGGCGCTGTTAAGACAGCAGGTAAAAGTTGGTCTGCGTTCTGTCGGAGCTGCCTGCGACGCGCTGATGAGATCCAAAAAGATCGAAATCGCGATCCGCGTCTGGCAGTTTCGACAGAATACACACCAGTTCGAATTATTTTATTCGAGTATCTAGTAGTTAAACAATTGGTTGCAACTGCAAAAAAGTGATTACAATAATCGTGGTTCTGGAAGTAGTCATTTGAATTAAAGGGTTGGAAAATAAGGAGCCCATCCAGTTTACCTGATAATGTCCATGTACAGAATAGACGAAGATGAATTTACTACACACAATGGTAAAATCATCATCAGTTACGCTATAATTTCATCTGTATCCCTACTATGGTCCATTTTATTGAACGAATCCAACCAGTACCTTCTAGATAAGTAAATCGCATTCGTACATCCCCTTAAACGAACACGACTACTAGATATCATTCCATTTTTGTGCGGTAACCGAGTTGCGTTTCTTCATTTTATCTTAAAATCCATCAGTTTCATCGTGGTTACAAAAGCATTCACGCTTTGCCTGAGGATTACTTGTTCTTTTTTTTTTAAGATGCAGTGTTGCCAAATGCATTTCCGTATCTGTAATTAACACCAAAATTCTCTAATTGCAATATTTCTTGCGTTTCTCCACGTTTTTTGCTTAAAAGGAAGAAAGGAAATGTTAATGGTTTGGCATTTTCAATAAATATTTGGTATTGAGTTGAGAACTTTAAGTATAGATAATATTTGGTGATTGCAAATTATAGTTTTGTTCTGCTTTTATTTTCTCTTCTATTGATTATTTAAACAGAATGTCTTTAAAAATCCCACATTATCAATTAAAAGAAATTAAACATGGTATTATAGGCGGATGATGAGGATATCGTGGGTAGAAAAGGTTAGAAATGAAGAGGTATTGGAAAGAATAGGAGAACAGAGGACTTTATGGAAGTCAATAAAAAATAGACGAGATAGGCTGGTAGGACACCTTCTCATGCATGAAGGTCTAGTCAGAGACATATTAGAGGCAGAAACAGGAGTTAGGAGGGGTAGAGGTAGACCTAGATTAGGTTACTCTTCGCAACTAGTTAAGGATGTGGGCTGTTCTAGTTTTAGGGAAATGCGAAATTTAGCTCAGGATAGGAAACAGTGGAGATACGTGTCCAACCAGTTTTAGGACTGACGACCGTATGATGATGATGAACAAAATCAAAATCAAAATCTAACCTACTGCATCCCACTTAACCCAATCAGGATTCCTCTTTTATCATAGCCTGACGTAAGGCATATCGTAACCTAATGTTTTCGTCGCCGGGCGTTTAGCCACAGCTCCTGTCGCATTTAATGTTTGTACATGTGTGTCTTCGCACAACTTTCAAGGGGATCTTTTGGTCTGTTTTACTGCCCCTACAGAGATTATTATACTAAGTCGGCAACAGCGGTTCCTTGCCGCAACGAACTGGGAATTTTTAAGTGATCGTGCAGTCGCGAAGTTTGCGCCTGTTTATTATCATTATCTTTTATTCGTCCGAAGGTGCTATGCTCTATCACACGGTATGGAATTACGCTTCACGTCTATGGCTGGGCTGTGTGGTGTGCAGTGTCTGCTGCCTCGGTTTCGAATTGCTCGTTTTGCTGCATAGATGCGTTAGTCCCTCGCTTGAATC